CAGAACCAGCCGTCTGGGGAGGAACCGCAGCAAACCAATGAGGCTTGTCCAGGCCTTGAGGGCAATGCCAGGCTACATCTTAGATTGGGCCTCTCGTGACGTTGCCCAGCTCCTCAGGGTTACATCAGTGTCAGCTCAAGCGGCTGCTGACCTCAGCCACCCAGGGTGGGAAACCAAGAGTCTGAGTAGCCTGGATCAGAACCTCAGGGGTTCTCTGGCCCATTCCCAGCACCTTGAATTGGGAGCCAGGGTAGCTTACAGGGCCCTGGGGTGATGTGCTCTCTGGAAGCCAAAGCCATGCAATTGCTGGGATTCCATAGGGGGCCCCAGCCTCTGCATCAATGGGAGATGGAGACAAGGATGGTGCCTCAGGCCCCTGCTACTGCAGGGGAGTCCCAGCTGGAGGCCTGGAGCCGTGTAAAGGAGGGAGGTTGTGCTCCATGTCTGCAGCAGGGAGTGGAGGGCCTCCGCACCCAGTGTAGTCTCTGAAGTCTTGATTCTGTTCCAGAGCGAGAGGAGAGCCCTGCTTCTCCCGTCAGCATCTCCTCTGCTGCCTGTGGCTGGGAAAAGCAAAGCTGCCCCGATGGTGAGTCCCTGCACAGCCCAGCTGTGGGGGATCTGGGAAAGCAGGCACCTGAGGGGTTAGCTATCGCACTGCTCTGAAACCGTTGAGCAATGGGGGCCAGCTGCCCTCTCCATCGCAGCTCCTGGACAGGGGCCTGCCGGCTGCTGCTGCCAAGTGCCCCAGAGGTGCAGGAAGCCTGAAGCCTAAGTGTGAACCATCTCACAGCCCATTTGGACGTGGAACACCCGGTGGCGTAGGCACCCGTCAGCTTTACTGTCCCACCCACTGTGTTGGGCGGTGACCTCTCCTCAGGGGATCCAGCCCGTGTGGTTACGTTATCAGCTGACAGCTGCCAGCATCTGTGCTCCTGGGACTGGCTGGAACGGGCTCTCTCTGACCTCACCGCTCCAGGCAGTGCAGAGACGCTGGCTCTCTTGTGGAGAGAAAGGGTCTGATGGGAGGGGGGCTCCCATTTCTGGAAATGTAGGGGACACTGTGGGGGAACAGTAACCACCCCACGCAGCGGAACTGCCTGCCGCCCCCGGAGGAGCGCTGGGTTTGGGAAGGCAGCTCACGCGGGCGTCAGACTTCCCATCCTGCACCAGGTTGCACTTGGCAGGGGATGACGTCCGAGTGGGGCACAGTCCAGGGAGAGGGCCCAGCCTGCTGAGGCTTCTGCATGGGGGCCCTTCACCTGCCCTGTTAACTCCTAGCATGGCTGAGAACTTCCCCCGCAGGCAGGGATGCTTGGGGGGTCTCTGTGGTGCTTGCAGTGGCAGCAGGCAATCAGGATGGGGATGGAGTGGAGGAAGCAGGGGAGCCCTGGGGAGTGCAGTGACCTTCCTTCCCCATGCCAGGTCTTGTGGCTAGTCCCTCTGCCACCTCCGTGGGATCCCAGAAATCCACGGAGAACTTTGCTGGCTCCAGGTAGGCTTTCCAGACTGACTCCCTGGGGCTGGGAGGGCCCAGCGGAGGGGTGGGGAGGAGGAGAGCTTCTTCTATGCAGAGGGGATCCCCCCGCTTCAGCAGCAGAGAGGGGGAGACCCCACCGGTGCTTCACTGAGGTCTGTTCCCCCCCCCTTCCCTCTAAGCCTCCAGTGCTTGAGCCCTGGCCCAGCAGTACTGCAGGGGTAAATTTCTCCCAGTGCTGCTGCCAGCCTACCCTGCACTGCAGTGTGAATTGTCTGGGACTCAGCAGCCTCTGGGCGAGAGGCCAGCGTCCCCCTGCAGCTTGGCCACCCTGCCTCCTTGGCAGGAAGGAGCTGGAGCGGACTCTCCTGCACAGGGTCCGTGAGCGCTGCTGTGCCATGCCAGCAGGACGCAGGCCGTGCTGCTCACTGGTCTCTTCTCCCCGCAGGTTCAGTCTCAGCAGGATCCGGGGCCATGGCCTCGCACTGCGGCCCCAGTGCCTGGCCCCAGAAAGCAGGCTCTCCAAGGACAGCGCCACCCATGACTACCTCCCGCTGGTAAGGACCCTGCACGGCCACCCCACCCTGCTGAGCCCAGCCCCGCCCCTGGAGTTACTCGACTCCCACCCCAGCAGTGCTGGGGATGGATCCCTTCCCTGACAGCCCCAGGACCTGGAATCAAACCTGGGTCTCCTACATGGTGGAGCAGACTAGTACTGACAAGGCCAGGATCCGCCTCAAGCTCATGGGAGCCAGGGCTGTCCCCTCCACTGGGTGGTGTGTCCCTAGGTTAGACTCCAGAGCACTGGGTCAGCGAGGTGTGCATCCCCTCCCCCCACAACAGACTTCAGCGCTCTACAGGGGACCCTGCTCTGCCCCGGCGCGTCCGTGGGGCGGGCACAGAGCCAAGTAAGCTCCTACCACTTGCGGAAGAGAATGCAGCGCTAGTGTCAGTTGCGTGCAAACACCCGCTCCATGCACAGCGGCAGTCAGCAATGGTAGGAACCATGAGGCAAGTGATAGATAATAAAACTGAAAATGTGGCACTGCCACGAGAGAAATCTAGGGTATGCCCACACCTCCAATACGGTGCTGGGCCGGGCGCCCAGCCCGACAGAGACTAGCATTGGAAAAGGCACAGAGGGGCATGGAACGGCTGCTCTACACGGGGAGATTGGGACTTCCCAGCTTGGAAGAGATGACTAAGCGGGCACATGGCCTCAGCCTGTACGGTTGGGACTCGTGTGGAGAACACAAGTAGAGTGTGACTGACCCCTTCACCTAACACAAGAAGCAGGGGACACCCGCTGCAGTTCTCAGGGAGCAGGGTTAAAACAACCCCAGGGAAGTATTTCTCCACACAGCTGAGTCAGCCTATAGCGCTTGTTGCCAGCGGGTGTTGCGCAAGCCAAAGCTATAACAGGGTTCAAAAAGGAAGTAGGGAAGCTCAGTGAGGGTGGGTCCATCAGTGGCTGTTCCTATGTGGTCCCTCGCTTGCACTTGCCCGATGCTGGGAGTGGAGGACTCAGTGCTTGCCTGTTCTGTTCACGCCCTCGGAAGCGCCTGGCACTGGGATGGACCATTGATCTGATCCAATCTGGCTGTTCTTATTATGTTTGGACATAAAGTGCCTTGGCCCCAGTCCGGCTTCCCTCGTGCTGCTGCCACCCCCTTGCGACAGGATGTCTGGCAGAGCTCCAGCAACAGCCCAAAGATTGCCCGGTGCACAAGCAAAGAGACTGTGTCCCCCTCTCGCCCCCTGCATGCAGGAGACCCCTGCACATCCTGGGTCTCTGGAGTGCAAGACACTTCCCCCTTCGTCTGTCTCTCCATGCAGTGAGTGACAGATGCTGGCCCTGAGCCACGAATGAGAGACATGCTCCCTCCCACACAGGTGTGGCTGCAGCAGGCATTGGGCACCTTCCAGCTGACGGAAAGCTTTTCCGAAGTGGTGCAGATCCCACTGGACCGTCTGCGCCGTGCCTCGCCATACGCCTCGCACCGTGCTAGCCTCAGCCCTGGTTCATGCGCCTCCCCCTGGGCACTTGTTGCCAAGGGCAGCCCTGACAGCGGCTCAAAGCAAGTCGCCACCAAGCCCTCTCCAGAGCACGTAGAGCCTGCCAGAGGCAGCCAGGAGGGGGCGACAGAACCAGGCTCACCCCATTCACACAGCACCTGCTCCGAGGTCCAAAGTGCCAGTGTCTGGCCACAGGCAGACAGCGGGCGTGGCTCTGAGACTGATGCCTGCGACCACTCGCCCGCCACCTCCGAAGCCAGCGGCAGCCTGCAAGAGGTGGGGTTTGAGGCTGACGAGGGGGACCTGGAGGGCGCCAGCTGGGCCACGGCCGTCGCGCTGGCCTGGCTTGAGCACTGCTGCGCCGGCTTCTTTGTGGAATGGGAGCTGTTGGCTGCCAAGGCAGACGCCTGGCTCCGGGCACAGCAGCTGCCGGAGGGCGTGGATGTTGGCTCTCTGAAAGGGGCCGCACGCCACCTCTTCCTGCTGCTGCGCCACTGGGATGAGAACATCCAGCTGAACATGCTGTGCTACAACCCCAGCAACGTGTGAGGGGGAGGGGCAGGGCTTCGGGGACACCAATAAAGAGGTTTGGATCTGACCTGGCTGTGCCCACCGCTCCTTCCTGCCCTGCTACTGGGGGGTGCTGTCCTTGGAGATGGACAGGCCTCACCCACTGCAGCATCTGCCTCCCTCCTGCTCCTAGGTCCAGCTGCCCATGAGTGCGGGAGGCTGGAGCCACTCACCCTCCTGCTGGGCGATGGGGGCAGCCCCCGGGGTCTGGAAGCAAGTGAGGTGCAGGCAGCGTAAGGTGTAGAGTAGACATGTGACGTCTACCCCCTCCACTTGCTCTGTGCTCACCCAGGGTCCTAGCACGTTGCACTCCCCTTAGCCCCGGTCTGAAGGGGCGGAAATGGAGACCCAGGTGAAAGGTTCCTTTGGTCTGTAAAAGCTCTAGGGGGCGGTAGGAGATCCAGTTCCAGAATGATTCCATGGTGTAGGGTCAATGGGGCTGAGCCTTTGGACATGTGCTCCAGCCTTGGACGGAGCAGGGCGGGAGCGTGGGGGGCACTGCTTCTCGGGGCTTAGGGCCAGCTGCATTGTTCCCCAAAATGGGTCTTGGCCGGGGAGCAAACAAGGTCCAGCCTCCCACCCAGCCCCGGCCTGTGCCACCCAGCCCCCTGCACTAACCATACTCCTAGGCCACTGCCCTATCCATTGCCCCCCATCCCTCCACACCCAAAAGCAGGGCAGCTGCTCCACCCTGTGAAATGGTCCCCCACCCCAGCAAGGGCCAGACAATACTGCAGGCCGGAGCAGGAGCCCATGGGGACACTGCCACTTTTATTGAGGAAATCCCAGAGAACAGGTATCCCCAAGGGGGAGGGGGGCGCGGCAGGGCAGCTCCACCCTATCCATTGCCCCCCATCCCTCCACACCCAAAAGCAGGGCAGCTGCTCCACCCTGTGAAATGGTCCCCCACCCCAGCAAGGGCCAGACAATACTGCAGGCCGGAGCAGGAGCCCATGGGGACACTGCCACTTTTATTGAGGAAATCCCAGAGAACAGGTATCCCCAAGGGGGAGGGGGGCGCGGCAGGGCAGCTCCACGCAGCCACACGGTAGGACAGACAGGGCCGCCGGCGGAGGAGTGCCGCCGGCTGAGCGGTGCCTGCAGAACAGCCTGGAAACTCTGAGACCAGAGCTCCCAGCCTGAGCCGTCGTGCCATGAGGCAGTATAGCCAGGTCCGGCTCCCAGGGGAGAGCCTGCATGTTCCATCCTCCAGCTGCCCGCGGTCTCACTCTGTCTTTTTCTGGGAAGGGCTGGTTTTCTGGGCAGCAGGGTGGCCCTGCGGCTCCAGGGGGGCAGCGGTGCCGTGCCAGAGCTGTAGCAGGATGATCCCGTGGCACACGTGCAGGCAGGCTGAGCTGCACACTGTGGAGGGGTACGTGTTCCAGGAGAGCTCAATGAGGCCCAGGATCAGCACCCTGCAATGGGAGACCTGGATCAGCGCTGGGGACTCAGGCCCTCCCCCACAGGGAGAACACATTTCAGCTGTCCTCCCCTGCGATCCCAGCCCTGGGCTCCCCCGGCCACATGGATCGGCCGAAACCCCTCGCGCCTGACCTGCAACCCCCTGCAATTCCAGCCTGGGCTCCACCCCGCCACATGGATCGGCCGATACCCCTCTCGCCTGACCTGCAATTCCAGCCTGGGCTCCACCCCGCCACATGGATCGGCCGATACCCCTCTCGCCTGACCTGCAATTCCAGCCTGGGCTCCACCCCGCCACATGGATCGGCCGATACCCCTCTCGCCTGACCTGCAATTCCAGCCTGGGCTCCACCCCGCCACATGGATCGGCCGATACCCCTCTCGCCTGACCTGCAATTCCAGCCTGGGCTCCACCCCGCCACATGGATCGGCCGATACCCCTCTCGCCTGCACGTAGAACTGATAGTGCAGGGACCTGCTGCAGCACACGCCGATGAAGTTGGAGCTGAAGAGAACGAAGACAACCTGTGCACTGCTGTTAAGGAGGGAATGGAGCTGCAAGGCAACCTCCTTCCAGCCCAGGCTGGGGCTCCCGGCGTGTGACTGAATCCCAGAGCCACCAGGCTGCATGGGGACTGGCTGCTTCCCCACGCCTAACCCAGTGTGGGGGAAGTTCCAGCAGGCCCCCACAACAGCTGAGTCTCCCCAGTGCCACAAGGCCAGGCACCGCCTTCAGGGGCTCCCTGGCCAGCCAGGACTGCCCTGCCCCAGCCTCCAGCCCCATCCCAAGGATATGGTTGGCCGTCAGGGCCTGCGGTGGACTCTTCCTCTCTGTTGGGTCCTTCAGCAACGACAAGAGATTCTCCTCAGACCTGTGGGGAAGGGGAAAGGATGAGCACAGGACCTGCCGGGGGGGGACGACTGGGGGGCATAGACAGCTCTCCCTTTCTTCTGAGACAACAGAGCCAGCAATAGCTTCACGGAGCCAGGGCCCAGCTCGGACAGGGAGGCCCCAAACACAGACTAACAAGTTCTCCTCTCCCTACCACCCAGGCTCCAGAACTCCAAAGCCTCAGCTCATGGAAGCTTTTAAACACCCTGCTCCCCTGCAGCCTGGCCAGGCCGGGCTCTCTGGTGGAGGTGGGCTGCTTCAGCCTCCTTTCCAACCTCTCCTGTAAAGTAGAGGCAGCATGGACACCTCAGGGATCAGCTGCTCTATACCCCGTTCCCAGCCAGGGTCTCACCTGTGCCACCGGTGCAGCGCAAAGAGCCCCAGGGCGCCCAGGTGGGCTGCGAGCAGCGCCAGGTGGAAGGCCCGATGCTGGAACACCTCCTCCGGCAGGAACCGCCAGTTCACCGTCCACTTGAAAAGGAACTGGCGGCCCAAATCGAAGGAGCGGGTCACGTAACCAACGGGGTTCGCCAGCAGGAAGGGCAGCCCCAGGGCCACCTGCAAATGAGACCCCTCAACGGTGAGAGCCGCTCCGCAGGCAGGACCCTCCCCAGTACCACGCTGGCACTGAGGAGCACCGGTAGAGCTGGCGGGAGAGCCCAGGATTGGGATAGCAGGGGGCCGCAGGGTTAACGGGCATTGGCAGAGTTGCAGGGGGGGCTGCGGGGCAGGGTTGAGGGGCATTGGCAGAGCAGTGGGGGGCTGTGGGGCAGGGCCGAGGGGGGAAGCTCCGTGTTCTGCCTGTATGTCTGGGCGTGTCCTGTGTGAATTGGGCCCCCAGGCTCCTTATCTGCCGCCCTGGGGGGAACACTGACCAGCTGGGTGTAAGTGCACATTTGTGAGGGGGCACAGGAGGGGAATGGTCCTTCCCCCAAACTCCCTCTCTGTCCCCCGTCCACCTTCCAGGTTTGCTCCAGTCCCCCGACATCTCTGGGTGCTGGGCCTCAGGCTCAGCCTGGCAGCCAGGGGCATCCATGCAAAAGGCACCAGAGCCCCGTGGCCCAGGCTGGCCCAGCTGTGCAGGGCCCCAGCGTTCACCTGGGCTGGGCCAGGCCCGGGGGCAGGTTACCTGCAGCAGCGCGCAGATGGAGAGTTTGGGGATGGTGCCCAGGAGGCCGAAGCGCCAAAGGAGCAGGAAGAGGAGGCCTGGAGCGAAGAGCAGGACGTTCATCTTCACCGACACAGCCAGGCTGAGGGGAGAGAGCGTCACTGCTGCCCCCAGAGCCCTGCCCATGGGCTGTCACCCCCCACTGGCCCCAATCCCGCCTGCAGGCCCCTCCCCCACACAGCTTCCTCAGCACCTACCAGACCGTATCCCAGCACTGGGATGGTGCTGAGGCTGGAATGGGCCCTGGAGGAAAAGACAACAGGCAGCGAGAGGAGAAAGGCAGCTGCGCATTCTGAGGGGACTGGAGCCAGAGGAATGGACCAGCCCCATCCCAGCGGGAGCATGCGGGCCGAGGGACTAGACGCCGCGTCTCACGAAACGCAGGCCAAGTGGCTCAGGTAGGTGCTACTGGGTGCATGGGGACTCGGCTCAACTGGCGTTGTCGGGGGCACGTGGGGCTGTGTCTGATTCCTTCCTGGCCTGTGGCATGTGTGCCTGGGCCATTCCCAAATCCTGCTGCTTCTCCAGGCCCAGCATCTCCAAAATCCAGCCTTTCCTCTCCATGGCCACGGCCAAATGCCTCACCTGGGACATTGCTGCCTCCTCCTCCCGCCAGGCCTCCCAAACATTCCCCCCCAGTCCCTCAGCCTGCACTAAGAGCTACCCCGAGGGGCCACATCCTGGTCTAGGGGTTTGATCAGGTCATGCTGGGTGCGGGTCAATCCACTGGTTCCTCCTCCATCAGGGCCACCAAAGCTCTATGGCAGTGCCTGTCCCTGCTCATCTTCCCACACCTGCTTTGTGCTGCCCCTCCCCACCCCCTTGGCTCACACTCCCAAATTCTCATGCAGCCTCTGTGCACAGTGAGGGGCCCCGCCCTGGCCACATCTAAGTCTCCCTGAAGGTACGTCCATGCTGCTAGCCGACTCAGGCCAGCCACCGTGCAGACCTACCCTTAGAGACCGCCCCCCGCCCCGCTGCTGGAGTCACCTGGGCAGAAGTTCCCCTTCTCTGAGCTCTGTCCTTGACTCCTGGGAGCAGCGACTGCCCCTAGCATGGACTCCTGCCTTCCTCAGCTTCAGGGGCCTGGTGTCTTGGAGCAGGGAGGGGTCAGTCCTGACCCAGACAACCCCGGAGACCAGACATTCCCCAGTCAGGGCTTGGGCCCTGTGTGTGCGGAGGGCGCAAGGGGGACTCACCTGAAGAAGAAGCAGCCCCAGGACCAGCGCTCTTCCAGGAAGAGGTTGACTGCGAGGAAGAGGATCGTCATGGCGACGGGGTCATTAAAGAGTCGTAGGATATAGATGGAGTGGATGCGGTAGGAGGCGCAGCACATGAAGAAGAAAACATAGGGAGGAACCTAGGAGTGGGGACAGGAGCAGCCATCATTGCAGTACCAGCTCCCCTCTGCAGTACTCCTCGGTCCTGATCCATCACCCCTGGTACTCCAGCCTTGGGCAACTCCTACTCTGCCAGTGTCCCTCAGTCCCACCCTGCCACGGTCTCTCATCTCTACCGCTAGCTCTGCCAGGGTAACCCACGCACCTGCTGGGGGTGCCACTGTCCCTTCTAGGGACACTGAGACCACTTACAGAGAGAATAATGAGACTGCTGTACAGCCGTAGCAGAGAGCCAGCTGGCTTTTAGCTCAGAGGCTCTTGCACTAAGCTCAAGGGGAGGGGCAGCGTCAAGCAGGTGCGGGAAGAGGAGCAGGGACAGGCACTTCTGCTGAGCTTTGGTGGCTCTGACCTTGGAGGAGCCAGCGGAGGGAGCCCCTGTTGGCGCTACAGCCGTACATTGCTCCTTTGCTATCCCTGTCTTCTTCCCCTCCCCACCGCTGATCCTCCATGCACAGGCCAGAGCTCAGCACAGTGCGGACGTGCCCAGAGGTGGGAGCTGTGAATGCTCCCGAGCCCCGTGTGGTTCTGGCCCTGGTGGAGTGGCTGCAGATTCCGTCTCACCTTCTTGGTCCGGCTGTAGATGCGGAAGACAAGCAGCAGGGTCACGAGATAGAGCGCAGCAAAGAGATACTGCGCCAGGCGGATGTTGATGCCATGGCTGGTGAGGTAGTAGAGACCCAGGAAGATGTAAACGAAGCCAGCAGGGTAACTAGAGAGCGAGAGACAGGAGTGAGGGGCCGGGGCAGCGCAGGAGGAAAGAGGACTTGGCCCCCAAGAGCCTCATCCCCAGGGACTCCGATCCTATCCATGCCTTAGACACACACTGCCCTTCCTTAGCCAGCAAGAAGCCCCCCCCCTCCGTGGACCAGCTCCCGCTTGTCCCTTCAACTACTCACACCAGGGGCCCGGTTTCTCCCTTCAGCTGGGTGTAGTCGAAGGTCCCATTCACGACTCCCTCCACCTCGTCCATATAGGCCTTCCAGTCGATCTCCGTGTCTGCGGGGAAAGCACGAGACGCATGCTCAGCTCCACGCGCTCTGCAGCATCTCCACACGGACAGGCACTGGGCGAGGGCTGGGAAAACACTGCGGGGTAGGAGGCAAGAAACAGCCAAGTGCTCACCCCAAGGGACCTCCCAACCAGTCAGCGGCAGAGCTGGGGACAGGCACTATGGGATTAAGCAGTGGCACGGGCACGTTTTTAAGAGTGGTGGTGCTCACGTCCCATCCCCCCCCTTCCCTGTTCTTTACAGGGCCAGCCCCAGCTGAGGCCGGGAGACAAGCCCTGGCCTGCGGGGCCAGTAGCTGGGACCTGGGGCTGGCAGCAGAACCTCCCCGCCCCCCTACTCCCCATGCTTGTGAGGGTAAGCAAATAGGGCTGACAGGCGGGGAGCTGCTCCAGGGAACTAGCTGCGAAGGGGCGAGAGGAGCTGGGGGAACCGAGGGCCAGGCGCTTGAATCTGGGGTAGCCCCGCAGCCTCCAGGTGCCCCCCAGCCCTGGCGCGGCCCAGGGGCCCGGCCACTCACATGGCACCCGGCGTATGACCCAGTGCGCGACCCCCACCTCCGCCAGGCAGAGGCAGGCGGCCACCAGCCCCGTGTACTGGGGCGCCAGCAGCACCCGGTGCTTCTCCTGCCAGGCTCGCCGCAGGCCCTGGCGCAGCGAGCCCGGCCCCGCCGCCCCCTTGCGCCGCAGCCCTGAGCCGGGCGCCGGAGCCATCGTCCGCCCTGCCCGGGCCAGGCTGCCCCACCCCCGGCCGCGGTGTCACCGGCTAAGGGCTCCCCACTCCGGGAGGAAACACGCTGCCCCGCCGGGGGGGTCCGGGCCCCAGCCACGTGGGCGGGCAGCGGGGGAGAGAGCGAGGGGGGCCGGGGACCCGCAGCTGCTGGGGGAGGGGGGCGCTGCCCCGCCCCGAGGGGCTCATTCTGGGGCCTGGGCTTGAGCTAGCGAGTGAGGGGCGGGCTAAGCAGTGCGGGGGTGAGGAGGCAGGGCTGGTGGGGCAGCCCAGAGGAGACTCTGGGGTCCCCATGGGGGAACATCCCCTCCTCCTTCCGTGGAGCTCCTGAGAGAGCCCAAAGGAGCGGGCCAGAGCCCCCCCTCCAGCCCCAAGTCCAGTGGGGGCGGGTTGGTTTCCGGGCGGAATGTTTTCAGCGTTGTACCAAACCCGGCCCGGAAGTGGCGACCGGAAGTTCCACGTGGCGTGCGGGGCACACGTGCCAGGTGGCAGCTGCGGTTCGGCCACGGCCCTTTCGTCTATGGCCCCGCCTCTGGTGTAGACGCCGCTCTGCGCCCCGGGGCATGGACTGCCCCGGGGTGCCCGGCTCCCACGGCCGCGAGCAGCTGGAGGCGGAGCTGCGCCCGCGGGATCGGATCCTGGTGCTGGGTAAGTGACTCCCCTGGGGGTTCCCCTCACCGGGGCTTCCGCGGACCGGAGCCTGGTGCTGGGATAGGGGCACCCGGGCTCTCTCCCGGTTCTTCGCCCCACCCCACGGGGCTGGATCTTAGTAGTGGGTTTGTGCTGGGCGTTCCCGCGCGGGAGGACTCGTGTTTCGCGTATCGGGCACTAGGGGATCCTGGTGCTGGGTAAGTGACTCCCCTGGGGGTTCCCCTCACCGGGGCTTCCGCGGACCGGAGCCTGGTGCTGGGATAGGGGCACCCGGGCTCTCTCCCGGTTCTTCGCCCCACCCCACGGGGCTGGATCTTAGTAGTGGGTTTGTGCTGGGCGTTCCCGCGCGGGAGGACTCGTGTTTCGCGTATCGGGCACTAGGGGGAGCAACCTCCCCCTTTTCTGCGCTTTCCGTTTATTGTAGGCCCTCCATAAACAAAGCCCTGAGCGTGTCTCCCTGAGTTGCGGTAATGTTAGCGCTTGTGCTCTGAGTGGGCTACAGCCTCCAGTGACGTCTTAGGGGACCCGTCTGCCTTGGGAGATGCTCTCTTAGTGGGAGACCTGGATCTAGCGCCGTAGAGGATGGGACTTCAACTAAGCCAGTTCCTGGATTGTGCCGTGTGCTCTTGGACTGCGCTGGGCCCTGTGATTCAGAGACGTGGATAAAACTGGGCTTGGACCTGCCTGCTCCGAGGCATGTCCCAGGACGGTGAGCTGGACTGTGCATCTGAGACAGAAAGGCGGCTGAAGGATAGTGGTGACCTTGCCAGCTGGTGTGATCCTGCAGCTGATGCTCAGTGACAGGGTTGGATGGACACTGAGGTCACTAGAGGCCCCACTGAGCTCACTGCTTGGTGAAGTTAGACCCATTTTCCTGGGAAGTGGCTGCAAGAACTGGCACTGGTTGTAGCCCCGTCTTCCTGAGCCCTGCTCCTTCTTGTCTACAGGATTGTTGTCCCTGAAGCCTAATGACAACGTGCTAACCCCCTGCTCCCCGTCTCTCATAGAGGGAGCGAATAGTTGATACTCCACTCAACTGCCTGATGAGCTTATGCTTATCTGGTAGTCGACTACTTGTTAACAACCCTTCTCCCTAGGGCTGAGTGCTGCAGGACAGGCAAGGGGAACGTGGATCTGTCTTTCCCTTTGCCTGGAGAAGTAGCTGGGCTGCTTGGGGTGGGGGTGAGTTGTACTGAAGTTGGCGAGGAGGAATAGTGGGGTCACACTGACACAGGAGTGTGCCCCCTACTGACTCAAATGCGCCTCCCAGTCCTGTTGGAAATTTCCTAGGTAAGTTATTGAGATGTCATCACATCTTAGTTTCCACACATGCATCCTCTGCTAGTCCAAAGGCCACTTAGGAGCGGTTATGTCCCAAACATCAACATAATCAATTCACTCTTATATCCCACCTTCAGCGACAACAGCGATCAGCATTGGCTGAATGCTCCAGTTGGGTCAGGCCCGGGAGACCTCTTCCCACGGCGGGCCAAGGAGAAAAGCTCACTACCAAACAAGCAAAGTCTTTGCTAGTGGCTGGGCCATGGCTAAACACAGCTGAAGCGGAATAGGTCTGTGCTCTGCTCATCCAAGTGTCTCGCTGCCTTTCACTTGGCCAGATTTTTAGCTCTGTCTGCTGTGCTAAACACTTCTAATCAATGATTTACTGCACCTGGTGCCCAGTGAGAACATAAGAACAGCCAGACTGGTCCATCTAGCCCGGTGTCCTGTCTTCCAACAGTGGCCAAGGCCAGGTGCCCCAGAGGGAGTGAACAGAGCAGGGAATCATCAAGCAATCCCTCCCCTGTCGCCCATTCCCAGTTTCTGACAAACAGAGGTTAAGGCAGGGGTGGGCAGTCATTTTTAATGGGGGCCACTCCAAGATGTTGGTAAGTGGTCAAGGGCCACACTTCTGTGGAGGGGTGCGGGGTCTGGGACGATGGGTGGGGTGTAGAAGGGAGCTTGGGATAGAGGACTGGGGTGCAGAAGGAAGTGTGGGCTCTGAGAGGGAGTTTGGATGAAGGAGGGGGTCATGATATGGGGCAGGGGCTTGGGGTGCAGGGTCCAGGAGGAGTATGCGTGCATGGGAGGATTCTGGACTGGGGGAGGGAGCGAGTTGAGACTGGGAGGAGATGCAGAGAGGGGATACAGAGGGTTTGGGTGGTGGCCTGGGGCAGGGAGTTGTGGGGAAGAGAGGGTGGGTGCCAGAGGCAGGCTCTGGCTGGGAGGTGCTTACCTAGGTGGCTCCCAGCCAGCAGCCCTGCAGGAACCTGAGACCGGTTTCCTGCCTGTGTGCTGGGCAGGCTGCTTCATGTGGCTCCGCTCCAGCACAGGGAGGGAGGAGGCTTCATTTGCTGCCCCTGCCTTCAGCAAATTTTCTCAGCTCCCATTTGGATGGAAACTGGCCAATGGAAGCTGGGGGATTTTGCTAGGGGGGAGGGACAGCGTGCAAAGCTTTCTCCTCCCTGCCCAGACTGCACAGCAATTAGCAGCCTGCTCTTTAAAGCTGCTGCTGCAGCTGGCTGGATCTGACCGCTTGGTAGGCCGGATCCAGGCCATAGCTGCCTCTTGCTCTCCCCTGGGCTAGGGACACTATATCTGCCCATCCTGGCTAACAGTTATTGATGGGCCTATCTTCCATGAATGTACCTAGTTTTGTTTTTAACTTTAAGACCTTCACAACATCCTCTGGCAAGGAGTTCCACAAGTTGACTGATTGTGTGTTGTGTGAAGAAATACTTTCTTTAGTTTGTGCTAAACCTGCTGCCTATTAAATTTTATATGGTGACCCCTAGTTTTTGTGTTATGGCAACAAATAAATAACTCTTCTTTATTTTCTTTCTCTACACCAGTCATGATTTTATAGACCTCTGTCATATCCCCCCACCTTTGTTGCCTCCTTTCCAAGCTCAAAAGCCCCAATTTTATTAATCTCTCCTCATATGGCAGCCAATCCATACTGCTAATCATTTTTGTTGCACATTTCTGATAGCATTGGAAAATTAACCATGTTTTCTTTAATTCTCTTGCTTAGCCCAACCCTTACATAGGGGAATGCTGCTATTCCAAAGGGTCACTATGTGTCTAACACAAACAGTCCTCCTTTTTCATCTTTTGGTCGCAGGCCTGCGGCTTACCACTTGTGCTAAGATCCACATTCCGAGTAAAACCATACCCTCTCCCCTGAGCTAATGTAGCCTCTATTCCTACATGTCCTGAGATGGTGTCAGGTCTCTGTGTGTGTTTAACTGCGCCCCCCCCTTCCTCTCTCCCCCCGGATATCCACAGCCCCTGCTCTCTCAGCTGGCCACTCACTGCAGCCGCTGGGCAGAGAGTGCCGTGTGTAAGTGTATCCAAGGACAGCCCATGCCCAGCTCTGGTGCAGCTGCATCTGTAGGTGATGTTGGTGCCAGGCAGCCCCTGAGCCGACCCAGCAGAGAGAGTGAGGGGCTAGGGGCTAGTGCCGCTTCCTCGTCCCAGGGGGGAGGTTGGTGGTTTGTGGAGCACAGGGGCAGGCAGAGAGATGCCAGCTCGGCTTGTGTCATAAGTGTATCCAAGGACAGCCCATGCCCAGCTCTGGTGCAGCTGCATCTGTAGGTGATGTTGGTGCCAGGCAGCCCCTGAGCCGACCCAGCAGAGAGAGTGAGGGGCTAGGGGCTAGTGCCGCTTCCTCGTCCCAGGGGGGAGGTTGGTGGTTTGTGGAGCACAGGGGCAGGCAGAGAGATGCCAGCTCGGCTTGTGTCATCCTCTTTATTCCCCTGTGCCCCTCCAGCTGCTCTGGAAGGAGCAGGCCCCGGGCCTGCTGCCTGAGTGCCCCGTGCCATAGATCCTAGAGCCCCTGCGTGTACATAGGCTCAGTCTGTGAGGGCCTCAAGTACCCCCTTATTCCAGGGTGACCTTGGCTGTAGGGGGTGCATTGGAGACCCCTGCAAAGGTAACAGCTAGGAACGGATCTAGTTATCTTACCCATTACAAAGATAGCTTCCCCAATTATCACCTCTAATATCATTAGCTCACAGACATTTACCTCCCCCCCCCATCCCCCTCCTGTTCTGAAATTTGATTTGTCCTTTTCATATGTGTTCGTTTTTTTAATTGTATCCTTTGGTATATATGGCTGTGACTATTTTCTTCCACTATTTGATCTGAGGAAGTGGGTCTGGCCCACGAAAGCTCATCACCTAATAAACCATCTTGTTAGTTTTTAAAGTGCTACATAGTCCTGTCTTTTGTTTCAGCTAGGAAACAAGTACCGGCCAATTCCCCTTGCGCACCACCAGGGGGCAGTCTGCGTCTTTCAAGCCACACTGGGGGCGGGGCTGGACACCACCAGCCTCCCACCTCCTGGCCCTCAGTGCAGAGCTGGGGGTGGGGCAGGCCCTGGGCTGATGGGGCTGCCCCCTTTGCTGGCTTATGGCCAGGGCTGCATCCCAGGCAAAGCCGATGGGGCTCGCTGCAGCGGTGGGTCTGTGTGTAGGGATCCAAGTCCTTCCGGGGCTGCTCTGGGGGATGTGTGTGTCTGGGATTGTGGTCCCCGTGCTGGCTGCCTTGTGCGGCTTCTCAGTCTCTGCCCCCTATTCGTGGCTGTGCATCCCCCCATCTCCCGCCACGCCTGGCCCGTGTGCATCTCTGGGGAGAGTCACCGTTGCTGAGAGACCCTTGCGCTACTGTCCACTCCCCAGAGCAGTGGGGAGGCCTGGGAGTCCCTGCCCGAGTGACGCTGTGCCCAGCAGGGCTTTGTGCTCACCCCTCTCTTCTCCTCCAGGCCGGGCTTCGACACCGTTGGCCTCCCTGTGGGCCCTGGCCCCTCTGCAGGCCAGGAACTGAGGCAGTGAGAAGATGGACTTGTCCAGAGTCATGCAGGTGGCTTGGGGCAGAGCCAGGGAGAGGACCCAGGAGTCCTGACCCCTCCCCTGCTGCAGGGTCCAGCATGGCCCAGCCTTCCTGGGAACTCCCCGGGTATGGTCATGGGGCTCCAGCTGCTACACCAGGGCCTGGCAGCAGGATCTGAGGGCTGTTCTAGCCCAAGCTGGGCTGGCGCTACCTTGTCCTATAGTGTGTGGTGGCAGCTGACTGCTGGCGAGGTCAGTTACCCCCAGTGGGGCTGGGGCTGAGCAGCGCCTCTCCACTGGGGGCTCTGTGCTCAAGGGGGGAATGGGGCTTTGCAGACCGTGAACCCCTGCATCAGGGATGGGTCTCCCCACCCAACCTGTGGTCCCTTACCCGGGGCTGGTCCCCCACTGTCCTCCCCCACCCCCATGTGCTCAGGCTCTGTAGCAGTTTCCACAGCCTCCCTCCACCACCCTCTGGAGAGGGGAAAGGTGTCAGGTATCAGCAGGGCTCCAACATCCTCCAGACTCTCTTCTCTCCCTCCCCTAAGGGCTCAGGGCCTCCCGCTCAGCCCTTCCATCTCTCCTGTGGCCTCAGCCCCTCCCCACCACCCCGAGCCAGCAGCCTCTGGCTAAAGCCTCTGGCTAGCCTGAGGCAAGGCCTCAGGAAATGTGGGCTTTCTGCTTGCTCACTTCATCGGCCTCCCCTTTCTCTGCAGTGACAGGATGGAGTCCAGAGCCAGGCGCCCCGGCCTGCCCTGGCGTTTGGCGCAGACCAGCCCCATGCTGAGCTGCCAGGATGTCCCTGGAGATACTGCTCAGTCTGGCTTTCTCCCGCTGCTCCAGGCCAGCCCATGCAGATTGTGGGAAACCTCCCCACCTTCCTTGGGTGAGCAGGAGGGGCTGGAAGATGGGGCTGAGGGTTTGGGGCACATCGGTGACTCTTCCCAGGGTGAGGACCGGTGTTCCCTGTGAGCTGCGCACTTGTGCGGCTGCTCGGGAGAGATTCCAGGGCAGCCCAGCTGATTAGCAGAGCGCTCCCAGCTGAGTTTCTTGCTGCTGTTGGTGGTGCACGCTTCCACGTGCCTCGGTGCATGTAACAAATTTTTTTCTGCACATGGATGGGAAAAATTAGAGAGCTCCTAGTTGCCACATTCTGTACAGGCCCCCTACAGCTCTGACACTCTCCATGGATGGAGAAGGATGCAGGGTAGGGTGGGCCACGGTCTGACCCAGTGTGGCAGTTCTTGTTCTTAGAAACCCTCTCCCATGTGGGGGTGTGAAGCTTTTGGGGGTGATGGAGGAGGGGCTGGACAGTGCCCTCCATATCCTGCCTCTCCCCAGCCCGGCCCCTCACTCTCCCGAGCACAGCATGTCTCCCAGGAATTAACCGGATCCCCCGGCAGGCTGCAGGGTACGACCTGTCTGTCCGGGGGATTTAGTGGGGAGGAGAAGAGTCAAAGCTTCACTTAATTCCACCTGGTGCTTTATCCATCTCTGCTCTGGCTGCTGCGGCTTTGAACCTGGTGCTTCCTTAATCCGGAGTTTTCCCTGAGTTTCCAAGCAGGTTCGGATTAACCGGGTCTTATCGCCTGATCCCCTAACAGGATCAATCTATGCGATCTGTGATTAATAGCAGCCAAATCCCCCCCCCCCGCCCCAGGGCAGAGGGCTGCTCTGGACCAGCAAGAGGGGAGCCCACAGGTGTGGTGTGGGACCCAGGGCTAAGCCCAGGGGTGGGCTAAATGTGCGTGGACAGGCCTCATCAGGAGCAGGGAAGGGAGCGTCTCACCCTGGCTGGAGCAGGGGGGAGTCTCTGGCAGGAGGTTCTGTGTGGGGGGGAGATAG